CAGGGTGAGATCAGAGTAGGAGCTTCTCACTAAGTACCCACAGTACTGGGGAGGGGGTGGAGCTGGCTGTCTTCCCTATGTTGTCTTCTCCCTCTGGAGGAACTAGAGGCTCAGGGGAGACCTCTCTACCCATGGTGCTGTGCTGGCTGGGGGGAGGGGCAATGCAAGTAACAGGTAGCTTCTCTTCTTACCCTCTGTCTTTGTCTTTATGGTACATGGCAGGCTTCTGCCCCCCTGGGTCCTAAGATTCTTTAAGTGGTATCTTATTCTTGAATAGAGGTTAGTTGTTTCTCTAATGAGGGGAAGGAAAGTCAGGAATACCCTATTTTGCGATCTTGGTGAAGTCACTCCCAATTGTCACGTCTTGATGCAGTATCCAAGAAAAATGTACATAGTTCTTTGAAAAGGTTATTAAAATACTCATGGATTTTGATCTACTTCAACCAAATAGCGTATCACAACAAAATGCAGAAACAGATATAAGAGTCTACTGGTCTTCCATTAAGCCAAACATTAGAAAGACTTTAAATACTCTGAAGCAATGCCACTCCACTTTGTTTTAGAAAGTCTTTCATATATGTGTATATGTAATAGGTTTGTTCTTGTTATTCTAAAATGAATTAGCAGAGTTTTAAAAGTTTTGTTTGAATTTCTAATATGGTAACTATCTGTAGATAAGACCTACATACACCAGAGCTCTTTGGGACCTTTAACAATTTTTAGGAGTGTGAATGAATCTTGAGACTAAAATGTTTGGGAACTGACGGCTCGGAGAAACCTTTACTAAAGATGTTCCACAGAATGTTGTCCCCTGAGAGACTTTCCAGGAACCCAGCAGCCAAAAACAAAAGGCAACATAAAGCAAGAAGAATTTGGTAGTTAAATAAGTTTAGAAATGTTGCTTGCTCTAGTCCCTTATGGAGATGCGCAGTTTGTAACAGCACATTAAATGCTCAACTTGAACTTTCTTCATTTCTGTCTTTCCTAAACTCATATGATCATGAAAATATGTTTCCAAGGGATATGCTTTGGGAATTACTGCTCCCTTACCAACCACGAATGTTATCATTTTAAATATTTTCCAATATGATAGGGTAAACAGTGGTATGTTATTGTTTCTTGGCTTCTGAAAGCTGGATTTTTTATGTAAGGGTCAGTCATATCTTCCTTTAAAACAGCTTCCAGCCAACAACTTCCCCCGACCCTTATACCATCAGGGAGGCTGCGTTTGGCAACTGTAGAATGCTTCACCACTTTCTGACTTTTCAGTTTTACGAACTTGGGTTGTTTATTAGTCTTCAAGAGAAGAAAATTAATGTAAAGCAATGAAGTAAGAATATGTTCAGAGAGAGAGGCCTGCAAACTAAGGAACTTGGAAAGGGGAATCTTTGCTCTAGGACAGATGGCAGTTAACTTAGCAGGCTGTGCCTTTGATTGAAATGAATGTCCTTTTGTAGAACCTGATTTGTCCTTTTTGAGTTATTGGTTCCTCAGTCATACATGTTGTCTGATTTGGTTTCCTTGGAGAAATTACCCATTCTCAAGGCTCTTTAAAGAAGCAGGGTCACTTTTATCACCATGTATTTTCCTCCTTGTAAATGATGATCCACTGGGATTCTAGTTTAGGAATGGGTTTGCTAATTACAGTTCCATAGTTGTTAGGACAAAATTATACTTGAAAGTGAACTTGCTAAAAGCTGTATTTCCATTTCTAAAAACCTATCCTAAGGTAAAAACAGAATGCAGTTGAAAAATGTACCTATAAAGATGTTCTCTCTAGCATTATTTATAATAACCGAAATTGAAAATTAAAATGTTGATACCTGTGGAAACAATGACCAATTCTAGTATATTATAGTATGCTTACATAGCAAAAGGCTATAGAGGTATCAAAAAGCCTGATTTTAAGACTGTTTAGAGATATGGAACAATGTTTCCCAAATAATATCAGTGAATATAGGACAAAAATATCATGACATATGTTGTTAGATTATTTTCCATAAAAGTTGTTCCATTTTACATTTTTGCCAGCGTCTTTGGGCATGCTTCTTTCCCCACACTGTTGACAGCTCTGAGTGTTACTTTAAATATTTTCTAATTTGATGGGGTAAAAATGATACAGCATTCTTAAATTAAGGAGACATTCAACATGGGGGACAAAGAGTGGTAATTGTCATTTCCAGATGAGACTTCACTCTAATTGCTACTCTGCAGAAAGAACTTTGGGCCACACTGACTACAAGATGGGCTAGCTCCGATTAGTGACATTTGGCATCTCCTGGGATCTGGGAGAAAGTTCTAGAGCCCAGATAGGGGATGTGAGTCAAATTAAAAATAACCAAGAGGGGCGCCTGAGTGGCTCAGTCAGTTAAGTGTCTGACTTTGGCTTGGGTCATGATCTCACAGTCCATGGGTTCAAGCCCCGCGTCGGGCTCTGTGCTGACAGCTCAGAGCCTGGAGCCTGCTTCCGATTTGGTGTCTCCTTCCCTGTCTGCTCCTCCCCTACTTGCTCTCTGTCTCTGTCTCTCAAAATAAAATAAAGACATTAAAAAAAAAGAAGTTAAAAAAATATAACCAAGAAAGCCATTTGTAATTTGTCCTTGGATAAATTAATATAAATACTATATTAAGGTTCTCTCCATCCAAGTATAAAACCCTCATATAAACATTTAAGGAGACTGAGAGGCAGTGAGAGAATATAAGCTTGTTGGTCTCTTGTGTGTCAGAGGCTTTGGTATTTTAAAGTTCTAGTAGGTCATAGAATTATCTGTCAGGTAATTAAAATTGTCATCACAGTCTCCATCTTTTATATCCCTTATTTAATGCATGTATGCATCAGGTTTGCAGAAACCTGTGGGCTTTTTCGGAGCCACTAAAGGGACTTGGTGGCTGTTGCCATTAGCTGCCACTTACCATGGATGTGCCAGTCATGCCTCCCAAATCTGTTGTCATAGTTGTACTGCAACTGGATAGAATATTGAAGGAAATGTCAAAAATGTAGCCATGTGAGAAGAATCAGGAGGCAGTATTATTATTCACAGAGTTAGCTTCCAGCCTGAGCTCCTGTCTGCATGGAGTGTGCTGATTCTAATTACAGCTGTGCAATTAATTCTCGGACAACATGAGAAAAGATGTAACTGCCACATTTGTAGAAACGTGGATGTCTTTTCACTAATTCATGTACTTACTTTCTTTGCAATTTCATCTGAAAGCGTCTTTTGAGGGCTTTTTGTTGTTGTTGATTTTTAAAAATGTTTTGAAAGACGAAAACGGACAAAAACAGAATTCAGCAAAATGTAAATGAATCAGAGCAAATGGGATGCAAGCATATATTGTGCAGATCCGGGATGGAAATAGAGATGTTTTGTTCTTCCTTTTTTTTGAGGAGAATCATAAGACTTTCCATTGTACGCCAGACATTGTGTTTTACATTCTCTATTCTCAGATGTTTAAAAGGTGACTAAAAGCAGCTTGAAAATGTCGAGGTTGTTATTGTGCATTCTGACAATAAAGTGTTGATTCTAACACAGAGATCTGTCCTCTAACCCTGATATGATCTTTTACCACTGCTGTAAGTTTCTTCCTTTTAAAATTATGATTCCACAGTGAATGTTTTTATTTTTGCACCCTTCTATAATACAGTGTCTTACTTGAATTATCATATCCTAGATTTAGGTTTTAAAAAATATCCTGGATTGAGTTGTGGAAAATGGCTATTGTCTATTGAATAAAAGATATTAGGACCCTGGCCTATCCATTGTTGACGTATATTTTTGAGAATGCTGTCACAGAAAATACACATGTCTAATATATTTTCATTTAAAGGAAAGATTATTTTATTAGTTTATTGTATAATAGAAGGGTCATGATATTAAGATAATCAACTATGTCTTGCTGGGGTTCGAAAGTAGAGGTGAGTCAGGGGTGTGTATATAGGAAATGCATGAATAACTTCTTAATTGAACTATAGAATATTTAGCCTCTTTTTAATAGTTATGCAGTGAATTTTACATTTTTTTGTGTAGAAGTGTGGATACTATTTACAACTACATGAACATATTCTTCAAGGCTTGCACATATTTACTGGAAACTATGAATTTTAAAATTGCTTTTCTCTCTAAGGGATCTAGTAATGGCATAAAGCCATTGTAGTCAAGTGGCCCTTAGAGATGAATATTGAAGCTTCAACTTTAGTTTAATAGGATTTCTTTTTAAAAGAAAATACGTTAAATCAGAATTAGTGTGATTACTCCCATCATGTTTCTCTTTCTTGTCTCATTTTTATGAATCTTTTTCATAACTCTTGTGGTGGCCAGCATTTACTTTTATTAGCCCTGCAGGGTGGCTGTACAAGAAGGTGAAGGTTCTTATTTCCCTTTGGTCTCCATTTTCTTATCTGTAAAAGAGGTTTATTGATGATCTTCAATCCCATTTTCATCTTTAGACTTCTATGTGCACGTCTCCTTCTTTTAGCCTGCATTCATTATAGATTTATGAGGATAACCTACAAATATATCGTGAAAGGAGCTTGAAAATTGTTGTGCATTGTAGAGATATCTAGTATCATCTCTGTGACTGCTCTTATGCCTACAGAAGATTGTATTTTCCAGGTGTGTAGTATCTTAAACTTAGAAAAAAATTTTTTTATGGTAAACTTAATACAGTATATGCTAAAGAAACATTTGCTGATTGGTTCATTCTTTTTTTTTTTTTTTTTTAGATAAAAAGCTTGTTTATTTATTTTGAGAGAGAGAATGAGCAAGGGAGGGGCAAAGAGAGAGAATCCAAAGCAGGCTCTATGCAGTTAGCGCTGGGCTCAGCATGAGGTTCAATCTCACGAACCATGAGATCATGCGTGGCCTGAGTCAAAATCAAGAGTTGAGCGCTTAACCAGCTGAGCCACCCAGGTGCCCCAGATTGGTTCATTCTTAAGCCAGGGATTCTTTAGATCTTGGGTAGGATGGCTGTCATCTGATGCTCACTACCTCGTTTCCTTTTAGACACTTCAGGAGGCGAAGGAGCAAGCTGATATCTGAGATGTAAAAATAAATATATTCCCAGTCTTCCAGACTACCCAGCAGTTGGTGGTCAGTTTTGAGAATACTGCTTTCCAGAAGGAGCTATCATGATTTGTCAGAGGACTGGCCAGTGAACAAAGTATGATCCATGACTGAATCAGGGTACTCTGTCTTCCCACTTGATTTGTGTTAAAATTTAACTAGAAAGATGTTGAAGAAATTAAAATTCAAAAACTTATTGCAAAAAAAAGTTTCAAATTGTTTTTTGTTTCATTGTGCCTAGAGCAAACTCTTAATCCACGTAACAATAACCCCTTGAAGTGCTATTTTAGATTGGAAGTGCTGAAGCAACACTAATCATTTTAGAGCAAATATGTTACTCTAATTTCCTCCATCTGCTATGAATAAAAGGATATGAGTATAAAGTCTAGGAGAGTTGTAGAGAAAATTGTTTCTTTGATAAGTTGGAGATATTTTTAAATGTGTGCAGGTGTGAGGGAAGAATAATCCTCTTTTTATTTTGTCAAGTGTTTCAAAAAATGGAAACTTTATTGTAGCTTAATGTAAATGTCAAGAAAACTTCTTCATAGCTTTGCTAAGACTCCAGGAAAGTATCAAATAACTTGAGGACCAGCTATCTAAATTTTATTGTGATACACATCTCATGATTCAAGTGTAAATGTTTTCTATGGGTTTGTTTAGAAGTTCTTACCAGTGAAGAGAGCTATTTCTACATGCTTGACTGAATGATTCTTTTCTTTCTTTGAGGATTTTCCCCTTTTGACTCAGTCCTCATGTAGTAGTATAGGAGGAAAAGGGTATATATATCCTCCTAGCTTCCTGGTCCAGCTCACTAGTCAATACTGGTACTACCATATGTTTGAAAAAAATTTTTGTAAACATTTATTTGAAAATCTAGAAGAAATGGTGATTCTTTAGAAACATATACATGATCAATATTAACATAAGAAAAGTTAAAATATTTTAATAACAATAATCAGAGAAAAAAGTGGAAGATTATTAAAGATGTCCCACTAAAAAAGGCCCCAGGCCCAGATGGTTTTACAGCTAACTTAAATTTAAGCTTTAAAACAGATACTCCTCATGGTTCTCAAACGGTTAAAGACTACAGAGAAAGAGGGAAGGTGCCTCAAGTAATTGTACAAATCTAAACATAACTTTATATCAAAACCTGATATTAACAACTCTAAAAATATATTTTATACCAATTTCATTTTTGTATGTATAATTATATAATTTTAAAAGTAGCAACTTAAATCCATCTGCTTTTGAAAATATCATAAAATATATGAAATAAGGTTTATTCAAAAATTACAAACTGGTTCAGAATTGGATACTCTGGTTTCTCTTCAGATCATATAAATCTTTCACCTTTTACTGGTTCAAAATTGGAAATTTATTCACACCATTCACCACATCGGCAAATTAAAAGATAAAATTATATGATTATATCAATACATTGTTGTGTTAGTTTCTTAGGGCTCCTATAACAAATCACCAAACTGAGTAGCTTAAATCAACAGAAATTTTTTTTAGTCGCAGTTCTATATGCTAAGGGTCCAAAATCAAGGGCCAACAGGACTCTGTTCTCTTTAAACATTGTAAGGGATGATCTTTCCTTGTCCCTTCCTAATTTCAAGTGGCTGCTGTCACTCCTTGGTGTTCCTTGGCATATAGATGTATCACTTCAATTTCTGCCTTTGTCATCACATGGAATTCTCCCTGTGTGTCTGTTTGTGCCTCTATTTTCTCTTCTTCTGAGGATAGCAGCCCGCATATCAGGGCCCACACTAATCCAGTATGGCCTCATCTTAAGTAAGTACATCTGCCAAGACCCCATTTCAAAATAAAGTCACCTGAGATTCCAGGTGACCATAAATTCCATCCCAGTACACATACCAAAAAAGAGGTTGATAGAATTTATTAGAAATTTTGAATAGCTTTAAAAATAAGATGGGCATTGAAGCAAGCTTATTAAACATAATAAAATGGATTCACAAAAACCTACCGTAACATTATATTACAGTGAAACTGTAACATTACCAAACCAAACATTGCCAAACCATAACATTAATCAGTGAAATATAAAAGCCATTCCTATTAAAACCAGGAAAAATGCAGAGGAATATTTACTGTGAACACTGTTACTTAGCCCTGTGTTGCAGGTTCTACATGATATAATTAAACAATAAATTAGGGAACATAAATATTGGAAAATGTTAAACAGAGTTATCTTCATTTTCAGATGACATGATTACATTTCTAAAGGAACTTAAGACTCTGTTATAGACTAAGAAAACATGTAAACTGGCCACGAGGTATGTATATTAAAACTAAAGCTTATTTATACCTTTAATAACCAGTTACAAAGAATTAGAAAAAATTCATTTATGTAAATCAAAAATATAAAATCTTTAGTAATACATTTATTAGGAAAGGAAATCATCAAACTATACATGCTAAAGTTTCCTCTTCTAAAATGCCATTCCTGGGGCGCATGGGTGGCTCAGTCTGTTAGGTTTCTGATATTGGCTCAGGTCATGATCTCAGGTTCGTGGGTTCAAGCCCTGTGTCAGGCTCTGTGCTGACAGCCAGCTCAGAGCCTGGAGCCTGTTTCAGATTCTGTGTCTTCCTCTTTCTCTGACCCTCTCCTGCTCATGCTGTCTTTCTCTTTCTCTCTCTCTTAGAAATAAGTAAAACATTAAAAATATTTTTAAAAATAAAAAATAAAATGCCATTCCTTTCTAAAATAATGCATATGTTAATGATCCCAGTCACAATTGCAAAAGATTTTTATTTTTACTCTTTTTTTTATAAACATGAAACCTTAGTGTAAAGCTGCTGCTTTAACACAGCATGTTATTGGCCATGAGAAAAATTAACAATGGAATAGAAAAAGTCAGAAGCAGATCCAAGTATATATAATAATTAGCTAAATATATAGTAAAAGTGGCTTTTTATTTCAGTGGGAAATGTATGTTTCCATTAAGAAATGAGATTAAAGCTGACTTTTGATATGTAAGCTGTGAATGATAGACCCTTATTTCTCACCATAAAATTTTAAAAGATAAATTTTAGATAAATTAAAGATATAAGCAATAGAAATATTAGAAAACTAAGAAATCCTATATGCCAATGAGGTAAAGTTTTACATTATATTTGAAACAACGGCTAAAGATACTAATTGGTAATTCACAATGAAAATCTGCTCAACCTCATTAGCAGTCATAGAAATACAAAGCAAATCATAATGAGAAAGTAGAACATTGTCATATTCTGATAAATCTGGTATTACCTATCAAAATCAATGGTATACCTGTTCTTTGACACTGTACCTGTTGGGAATCTTTAATCTGTTGTATAACAATATATATTCAAAGATATGTGCTTTATTGTTTTAGTGACAAAAACAAAACAAGCGAGAGAAACCAATCAAGAAGCTCATTAATTGGGACATTGTTGACCATATTTATACTATAATTATACAGTGGAATAATATGAAATGAATAAAAATAGGTAGATCTACATGTGATGTCCAACATATCCATGATGCAGCTGGTAAGTAACCTTTTGATTGGAGCAGTTGGGAAAATACTGAGCTCATTTAAATGAGAAAGGAAAGAATGGCTCTCTATACAATTCTGTGTTTGTATATATTTGGATAGAGCTAGAGAAAGCTATGGAAGTGTAAACAAGTACTTCTTTTTATTACAATGGGAAAATGGGATTGGTCATAGGGCAAGGGAAAAGCACTAGTTTATTTTATATTTGTGTATCTGTTTATTTAATTTATTAAACAAAAACATATGTGTTCATACATATGTGAGTGTTTTCATTTATTATGCTATTTTTTACAATTAAAATAATTATTTATTATCTGTAGCATGCTTTTCTGATTTCATATGTATATGTATATGTGCTAAATCCTTACAGTATTGTAGGGGCACCTGAGTGGCTCAGTCGGTTAAGCATTCAACTTCAGCTCAGGTCATGCATGATCTCACATTTTGTGAGTTGAAGCTCTGCATTGGTCTTCACACTGACAATGCAGAGCCTTCTTGGGATTCTCTCTCTCTCTCTCTCTCTCTCTCTCTCCCTCCCTTTGTCTCTGTACCTCCACCACTTGTGTGCACACACACTCTCTCTTTCTCTCAAAATAATAAATTAAAAAACATTATAAAAATCATTACAGTATTGAGTTTTAAGACCCTGCTTTTACCACATTAAAAAGTGGGCAAAATATTTAAATGGGAGTTTACGAAGGAGGTGAAATAAAACACCAGTAAAACTTGCAGCTCATTGGTTATTGAAGCAAAGATAATTAGAGCAATAATGGTTTTTTTGCTCAGACTGACAATTGTCCACAAAATTTGATACTTCTCAATATTATGCAGAGTGTACAGTATTGTCCAGAGTATGGACATAACTTGTTAAACTTGCTGGAGGGCAGCTTGGCCATATTAACTTAAAAACTTTGATAATATCCACTGTCATAATACTTTCCTGGTCAGCCATACTACTTCTAGAAAGTAATGCTAAGGAAATAATTGCAAAGGTGTATATTTCATTACAACTTTGTATCTAATAGTGAAAAAAGCTAAGTCTCTATAAATAGTTGAATGTGTAATTAATTTTTTAATGTTTTATTTATTTCTTAGAGAGAGAGAGAGAGAGAGAGACAGCGTGAGCAGGGGAGGGTCAGAGAGAGAGGGAGATACAGAATCTGAAACAGGCTCCAGGCTCTGAGCTGGCTGTCAGCACAGAGCCCGACAAGGGGCTCGAACCCGCAAACCAGGAGATCATGACCTGAGCCGAAGTCGGACGCTTAAGCAACTGAGCCACCCAGGCGCCCCTGAATGTGTAATTAAATTCACTTATAAGTTATATTACAACTTTATATACATACAGATACACGTACACAATTACAATGTTATAATAAAAGTTTATATATGATTATGTGAATTTTCACTGATGACATAGAAAGATATGTATAACACATTTGATTAGTGTGTTAGATTCCAGGTGGTACATACTATGACCCAATTTTGTGATATATTCATTCATTAAAATGAATGGAAGTAGACTCACCAGACTGCAGTGGTTTTCTGTGGATATATGATAACAGGTAGTTTTCATATTTTTCAGAACTGTTTGAAAAGTGCTTGCTGTACTTTTATCAAGAGAGATACA